CCATAAATATTGCAATATATTTTGGCAAATAGGCAGATTGGTGGCATATGCCAGGAATAAAGTGTGCTGTCTGGGATGTAGCTATTTAATGGCAGAAAAATAAATACTATGAACGTTATTTTTTCAATGCATACAATAACGATTAAATAACAATGAAACAACAATAATATAATAAAGAAATGTTCATTAAAAAATAACATTTAAGTAATAGATATTAATTTTTTTCTAATTTTCTATAGGAGGTGGGCCGCCAGAACTTTTTACAGACGTAGGTAAAAGTATAACAGTCTTAGCACAGTTTAAAAGCATTTTGGGAACCTATATTTAATATACTTTTCCCAATTTTGACACATAAACTGACATTTTTTGTAATCGCAGCAAGTGTCAAAATGATCTACTTTATGAAACGGGTTATGAAAAAATCACTAACTATGTCACCAGTTGCGAAAATAAAATACAATAAATAAAATTTAACTTTTTTGATTCTTAAATCAATATACATTGTGTTGAAAGTTTATATCAACCCAGTAATACCGTTGTTTTGGTCCGTATTTTCCATTCTAAATCGGCCCAAAAAAATCAAAATACAATACACGACAAAATAACCGACTTTTTTGAAAACTAAATAATTTTAACCAGCAATATAAACCAGAACTAGGCAAAGCACTCGAAAAAAGTGCTTCGAGTAGCAAGTACGAATCCCTTTGGAAAAGCACCAAGCACTTTGGAAATTCTAAGTGCTTGAAATTACCAATTACCGAGAAAAGTAATTTCACAATTCCAGCCCAGCACCAATTACTCAAAACAACCTTAACTGCAAAATTTTGTGAATAAATTGTTATTGACAAAATGTCTTTCTGACCACTGTACTCGTATTGATTGTTGTTGCTGTTGTAAAAGGTTGCCATAAAGTCATTCTAGTTCAAAGTTCGAGAAACCATGCAAAAATTACGAATATACGATATTTCATTTTTTTTTAATCTCTGAAATTTAGTTCCAATATTTTTAGGGATGATTCTACATAAGAAAACATGAAAATTTCTTCATGTGAACATAGGTTCGGATATGCATAACTTTTTTTAAATCAGTTCTTAATATCCTTTACCCGATTTTGTTAAAATTTGGCAATGTCGTTTAAAGTAATAACAGGCCAATTAGACCCAACTGGATGAAAATTGTTAAATTCAGTGGCGTCCCAAACAACGTACAAACAACACTGACAAATTTTAACAACAAATGCGTGAAATGACATTCCGGTGACAATCTCCGGCGAGTCGCCAGCTTTTTGGGCTTTCGCCGGCGGATCGCCAGCGAATCGCTGGCATGCGCCGAAATGAATCTCTGGCGAGTCGCTGGCGATCGACTATGCATACGGCTGTTAGTGTTGCAAAATGCCAGATACTTATTCAAATTTAGAATATGCAAATATGGTGTTTGTTTATGGTTTCTGTATTGGAAATGCTACAGTTGCTGCTGAAGAATATCGTCAACGTTTTCCACACCAAAGACATCCTGATAAAAACGTATTTATTAGAGTTTTCAACAAATTGTGCGAGACTGGTAAGCTTCCCAGTGCTTTCATAACATCTGAACGCGCTACTCGACAAGGTTTTGTAGAAGTAGAAAATATTCTGCATCTAGTAGAAGAAGATGCAACTACTAGCTCACGGAGAATTGCCACTTAATTGGGAATTCCATAAAAAAGAGTGATAAACACACTCCACGAGCAAGGCTTATATCCTAATCAGGTACAGAGAGTACAGCACCTACAACCACAGGATTACGCTAACCGTATGGAGTTTTGTCGGTGGATAAATAATAATCATCGTGTTGTATCAAGTATACTCTTTACGGATGAAACTACATTTACCCGTGATGGCATTAATGATACTCGTAACTATCATGTATGGTCAGACGAAAATCCCCACGCAACAGTTGAAAGCAATTTTCAACATCGGTTTTCTGTAAACGTGTGGTGTGGTATGGTTGACAGTTATTTAATTGGCCCTTTCATTTTGAAGAATCGTCTCACAGGAGACAACTACCTCAATTTTTTACAAAATAAATTACAAGGCCTGCTAGAGGATGTTCCTGTAAATATTAGAATACTATCAGCACGATGGAGCTCCTGCACATGTCGCTTGTCAGGTCAAGCAACATTTGGACCAACGTTTTCCAGGGCGTTGGATTGGTCGTGGAGGACCTCACACCATTAGATTTTTGTTTATGGGGCTGGATGAAAAATGAAGTCTACAAAATAAAAGTGGACACACGGGATGCACTAATTAGACGAATTGAGAATACCGCAGCCATATTAAAGAAGAAAGAAATGAATCAATTAGGAGAGCAACAAACGCTCTTCGTAGACGAAGCAGAAAATGTTTAGAAGTCAATGGTGGTATTTTTCAACATTTATTGAAAGAACGCTATGATTAAGAGAATTTTTATGTGTAAATTTGTTTATTTGTTAATATGCTATAACTTGAAAACAAATGAAAATCGGATAAGAACATATGAGTTTTTTTACATTATTTTCGCGTGTATAATATACTCCTAGAGTTTGGTGCGCTCCTCCCGACTCACCCTGTATATCTCAATGTACATGCCTGTATGCGTTGTAAAAGAAAATAAAATTCATGAAATACCGAAATAATTAAAATCTTTTCACCTGAATGTTTAATTTATATTCAAAACTTTATAATTATTGCGGAATCTTTAAATTTTACTAATAATAATGCCAATTATGATAACATTGGCGTATGTTTACTAAAACTCTATTGTTATACCGATCGCTCCATCGGATTCTCGAAAGATTTTGCGGCTATGCGGTCTAATTAGAACGTTGTTTTACGCTCAAGCACGGGTGAGTGTACTTGCGTTCAAGACCACATCCAAGACCGCTATGCTATTGCTATGCTGATGCTATGTTGTTTGCGACCCTGTGGTCTCCGAATTATATCCGCACATCAATACATCAAATCCCGCCGGGTTAGGCAACTCATATCTGTTTGCAGGTCAAATTGATATTCGGCGACATTCATCCAAGTCAACAAATAAAATTTGACAAATCTAGAAATGAATTTAGCACAGTATATTAGTACCTGAATTTCTTCAACAAGTATACACCGCAATTACAGAATAGTTATATTTATGTAATCAGTTAAGAAATGCCTTATTTTGTGTAACTAGTGAATATTTACGCTCGCAAAATGAACGACATTTTGTAACGTTGTACATGCTGGAGTTTTTCTAATTTTGACTAGTATTTATACAATGGTGGTATTTGTATAAAACTGTCTTTACATGCAACTGATATTAGTTGCATATCGCTCATAGGAAAAGTTAGAAAATCATGTAATGAGCTTTGAAACGACATTTGTATTATTTTTTTTTTTAAAAAGGGACAGTTTCCATCTTAAATTTAGCAATTTAGTTGGTTTCTCTAGTATCTGTAGTTAGATTAGATTAGATTAGATTAGGAGTTGGACGTTATTTGTCCTTGTCCACCGCGACCTTTTCAGATCTATTGTGGGACTCCGTTTGTTTTAGAGTATGTCGTCTAGCCTGGTCTTTTTTATTAGACTTAGTAGCTTTGACAGTGGCTCCCGCATGTAGTTGCATGCAATTGGCTTTTCTTCGCCCAATGTTAGAACCTCATTCCAGCCAAGCCTTCACATTGGCACAGGACGTGGAATGATGTTTCCTCTTCTTCTTCACAGAACCTGCACAAAGTAAGTAAGAAGGCCTACTGTTGTATCTGTAGTTACTTCACAATTAATTATCAAAGATCCTTAGCCCGGTAAGGTCGCACTGTCGCGCTGGACCTACATTTCGGCCCGACTCGTAGGAATTATGGATGATAATATGAAACAAACTCGTTGGATGAAATTAAGGAAAGAAATCCTCTGGACGCGCTTGATCTAAGGAAAGAGGATACATTCCGAAGAAGGGACTCAATAGGTAGGTCGCCAATTAGATAATACCGCACGGAGAACGAGGCTTTCTATACACCGAAGGCAGGATTTATAGATGAAGAACTAATGGAGAGTCCAATACATAAGCTCGATGGAGACATTAACACTATATCGCTGGACTTGGAAAATGAAGAAGGCGGGAGAATTGTGAAACGAAAAACGATCGAGACACAAAGCAGAAAAATACGAAACTACAGGATGCCTTAGAGAAGGTAGGGAAGATATCGGAAGCCTTAAGCAAGTTGGTAGAGGAAAATACGAACACGAAGAAAGAGTTAAAAGATAAGACTAGGGCATTGAACTGGGCGGTGAAGAAACTCGGCCTCCTCGCTGAAGAGGAGCAAGAAATTGATAGAGATGGCCATGGGAAACATGCACTGTAGGGACACAAACCATAACGGTGGCAACAAAGGACGTTGGTACCCAACTAAACTCAACAAAAAAACTCTCGAGAGAAGGACAGAGAAGTGGATAAGGGGTCGTGGTAGACAATAAACAAAATATGCGAGGAAAAGTGGTCGAAAGGTGCATATACAGCTACTAGGATTTGTAGTGGTAATTCCACATCCATACCGGGTGATATTGACGTGGCAATATTATTCAAACCGGAAGAAGGCCCAATAAAATGGCAGATTACAGCGAGATTAAAGACGTAATAGATCTAGGCAGGATAAAGAAAGGGATAGTGACTACGCTTCGAAATACCAGACAACTAAACATTAATGGAAAGACTTTGACAAAAAGAACAGGAAGGTCCAGTTTTTTGGCGGGACTCATCCGGCAGGAAGAGGAAGACTAAAAACTTCTGGTTGAGCTAAGGAAAGGATGGAGGACACGGACTGTGAGAATCTAGCGATGCTCACCGACCTAAGAAGTCTCTCAGAAAGAATGAGAAAAATGATGGAGTGTGCTTTCAGAGGAATTACAAATGAGATTATGCTTTTTGACATGGACATGAAATTGGAACAGGACAATGGGAAATAGGCCGCGGCCCTCAAACAGAAGAACGGCAAACAACCACCAGCAATGGTCATTAAAGATAGGAATGTATCATACGAGGGACTGCAGAGAAAGTTAAAACAGAAGGTGACAAGAGACAAAGTGTCTCATGGGGAAAACAATAAAAAAACAAAAGCAGGAGACCTCCTAGTAGAAAAGGAGAATGAAAACATAATTGAAGCACTGAAGGAAGAGGTAATGAAACACATCGGCGGAGCAGAGGTGAAGCTACTGAAAGGAAACATAGCTGTAGTCCACATCTATGACATGGACGCAGTGACCACGAAGGAAGAACTGGTACAAGCGGTGGAGATCCAGACGGGTTCTGGCTCAGTGGTGATAAGACCCATGCGGCCGATGGCAGAAAGTTGGCAGGCGGCTACATTAGAAATGGCAGAAAATCTAGCCAAAAAAATTGTCAAAGCACAAAAAATTAGAGTGGGATGGACGTCGTGTAGGGTAAAGAAAAGAGTAGATATTAATAGATGCTTTACCTGTGACAGCCTCAGATAAATATTTATCTGAGGTGACAGCATGTCACATTGCAAGGGACTGCAAGGAACAACCCATGGGAGAAAAATGCTGGAAATGTGGGGAAGACGGGCGAAAGGCTGCAAAATGTAAATCCGAGAACGAGTACTGCTGGACTTGTAAGGCGGAATGGCAAATAAACGCAAGTTTCAAATGCTAAGTCTTCAAGAAAACGGTAAACCAACGATAATGAGCTGTGATATATCTGTGATACCTATTTATTTTATTCCATTTTATCTATTTTAGCTGTTTTATCTATTTTACTTATTTAATTTATATTATCCTATTTTATTTATATTCTATTTATTAATGACTCTTCGCTTTCTACAAGCCAACCTGGGCAGAGCCCGGACTGCACACGACGTGGCCCTTGCTACAGCCAGAAGGGAAAAGGTAGATATACTTCTAATCAGTGAGCCAAATAAAAAAATCTCGGGGTAAAGATTGGTTATGCGACATTCAACAAGACGCGGACATTCTGCGTCTAAACAGAAATATCGGGGTAAAAATCCACAACTAAACAGAGGGATGAATATGCATCCAATTCGAAAAATTTTACATTTACAACTGTTACGTCTCTCCAGCAAATTAGACAAAATTATGGAACTAGTGAGAAGAAATGGGGAAGAAGCTATTGTGGTAGGCGACTTTAACGGGAAATCACCTATGTGGGGCTCACCCATAGATAACTCACGTGGTAGCATGGATAAATTCGCTGAATCTTGCAGTAGTAAACCATGGAAACACCCCAACTTTCGTCAGAGGAAATAGCGTCCCCTTCATAGATATTTCACTAACCACGGCAAGTATCCTGCCCAACATCTACTGATGGAGAATGTCGGATCAGAAATGCTTAAGCTTGCGTAGGCACATATTTTTCGAGCTGGAGACTGGGAAAAGAGCAGAAAAAACCTATATACATCACGAGATTTACCAACTATCAGGAGCTGTAGAGGATACTTAACATCGATCTTATGTCGAGACGTGACCAAATTTTAAAGGAGGTCACAGAAACACTCAGAAGATCACAGAAAAGATGCAAAACAGTAAGAGATGAAACAAATACGATGCAATACTGGTGGAATAGAAAAATCGAAGAGAAAAGGCGGGACTGTAATAGAAAGAGGAGGGAAATGAACCTAAATGAAACCATCACGGTACACGAGAGAGAAAGGCCATACAAAGAGACAAAGAAGGAGCTAAAAAAACTAGTCCACAGGTCCAAATAAGAATGCTGGAGAAGTATTTGCAACAGGCTAGAAGAGGACATCTGGGGCGAGTGTAACAAAATTGTCACCAAATTTTGTAATAAACTAACCCCGTATGAAATAGACATTGAAGAGAAGAAAATAATTGTGGAATATCTATTTCCTGTAACAACCGGGGAATTCAGACGTAGTGGACAGGTATAACTACCCCCTCCCTTTTCAATAGATGAGATTTACGAAGCTGGAGTAAGGGTGAAGTCCGGTAAGTCACCCGGAATAGACGGAATTACACCGGAGAACATCAAATGTACAATAAAGTTGGCACCAGACTCGATCTTGGGGATTATGAACGGTCTACTAAACATACAAACCTTCCCCACATAGTGAAAGAAAGCGAAGGTAATTCTGTTCCCAAAAGACAAGGCTAACAGTGAGTCTAACGATCGATCTGCATATAGACCAATGTGCCTATTTAACACAGTGAGCAAGCTCTATGAGGCAATGGTTAGGGAGCGACTGCTTAAGGAACTAGAAGACAAAAACGTCTTTTCCGACAGACAATTCGGGTTCAGGAAGGGGGAATCCGTCATACATGCCATCAAATGGGGGATCGACTGGGTTAAACAAAGCAGGATAAAATGATGCTTGATGGTCCTCCTGGATGTCAAAAACGCCTTTAACACGCATCGTGAAGGATAATAATTAGAGAGTTAGGAGTGAGCGGATACTTATTTAAAATTATTGAAAACTAATTTACTAGTAGATAAATATACATCGAAAAGGAAGCAAAGAGCAAGTGAGCGGCGGTGTACTACAAGGCTCGGTCTTAGGACCAACCCTGTGGAACATTTTGTATGACCCTGTACTGGGCCTGGGCCCGGGGCTCCAAAAAGCCTTTGTGGGGGCTCCGCGAAGAAAATAATAGTTATAATAAAAAAAAACAAGAAGCAGTACTACCGCCACAAAAGGGAGGGACCTGGGTTGAGGATTTTTTTTAGAAATGTGTTTAGGGCTCCGTCAAATATTTCTCTTTTCAAAAAGGTTCAAAAAAGTTTGAGAAACACGAAACACTTCCTTACAAAGTCGAAAATGCTTGATAAATAACACATCATTAATTCGAAAGGAATTTTTATAAACAAACTTCTTCCTTCTATGTCACTCTTTAATAATGTTTTGATTTTCAACAGCCAGCAAATGTAAATTTTATCAAAATCTGCCACATTCATATTTACGGTCCACAAAGTCGCATACGAATTTAAATTCGAGCACTTTAGGCCACTCGTGTTGAATTCATCTGACATTTATTTGTCGTATGCTATTTTCGAGAATACACTTTTTTAAAATCACCTAGTTGCTATTTCACATTTCACTAATCTCGCATGCGAATCGAGGTATTCGACATTCAAGAATACTTTCCCAGGGCTAGAATTTTTAGTTTTATTTAGTAAATTTGATAATTCGGTTAGTGAAATAGGATGGTTTAAGGGATCGTTTTGATCATTGGTCATTAAAATTTCTTGATTTTCTGCCTGATTTTTAAATAATAAAAACTTCGGATTCTAATTTGAACTTCTGCTTTGTTTTAAATATGCATTTGTTATGGTGTTAGCAATGGTTTGTTTATCGTTTATATGCGTATTTTCGTAAACCAAAGTAGTTATAGCAGAATTTTCTTCCATATGTCTGAGATAGGGGTAGAACTATTTATAGAGAAAATGTAACTTTGTTTCTTACTGTCTTTAATTATACGTCTCATTCTGGCCCTTGTTTCTTTAAATTTGTTGATATTTTCTGTAGTGGGTTGACTCTTTAAATCTTGTTGACTCTTTAAATCTTGTTGACTCTTTTTTGTTAGATTTTATAGCCTCGTCGCAGTTTTTGTTCCACCAAGGAATATTACGCTTGTTTTTGTTTTACCTATCGATTCTTCTGCGGCCATATTAATTATTGCTGTAAAATTTTCTACAAAGGAGGTAATTTCGGTGTCGGAAGTGAGATCTTCATGAGATAAATAGTATTCAATCAAATCGGATATTTTTTTCCAGTTGTCACTAGTGGAATTTTTCAGTTTCCATTTGTTAATTGATGATTTAGAATAAAAACTTAAGTGAATAACGATGGGACAGTGGTCATTGTTCTAAGTGTATGGCGAAACTTCCCAGGACAGGACTGGAAAAATCTTCAAGTCACAGAGAGAAAGATCTATAGCTGAGTGGTTATTTGTAGTTGGATTGATTCTTGTTATTTCACCGATGTTCAGCAATATAAGATCTGAAGAGTTGATAAAGTTTTCCTTTAGAATCGGTTTTAGAACTGCCCCAGATAAGTATTGTGCATATTAAAATATCCTAATAGACTCTACGGTTTTGGGAGTTGACGCACGAGGTGTTCAAGTTGTGTTGATGTGACTGCTTTGTTTTCTGGTATGTATATATTACATATGCTTATTTTGTGTTGCATATTTACACAGATAGCTTCAAAGTCAGTTATTAAAAATAATTCTATTTTTTTTCTTTGACGTATATTAACTTTGATGGTTTTTTCTTTTAGTTTTGGATATATAATATTGAGCATGTCGAAGAGGTCTTTGAAATTTGTAGTGTATTTCTTTATTACAACTTTTTGTTATTAAAATATGTGATATTGGGTGGATATTACGTGATACAGACTTTTTACAAACTTGTTAAGAAATCGATACATACTAGATTGCTTTGAATCTTGTCATCATGAAAATTCGGCCTTTAATTTTGTATTTTTGGGCTTCCCAACAGTTTTTATTTTATAGAAATGAAACAAATCAATCTATTGAATTCAAATTTATTAAAAATTGTAGATTAAAAACAATAACAAAATAATATTTATAATGAAGTTATTACCCATATCGGTGAACATTTCAACGAAAATTGATATTTTCAATTATGCAATTACATAATTTTACAAATTGATTGGACTAGCATAATACAAACACTGATTAGGTCTTGTGTCTACTCTGAATAACTAATAGCCCAGTCATTCTAAATACATATCAAAGAAAGTTCTTTATTTAAAAAAAAAAAAACTTTCTCGAATATTTTAAATCGATTTAGCTCAGAATAACTTGGATACAAGGACTATTGTGCAATGAGACTACTTTTCGAATACATGTTTCATAAACTCCGTTTTCGAAGAATAGAAAAGAAAAATGAAACCCTGTTCTTTTCTGATACACTAGCTTTTTATTTATAGGAATTATCTTTAAAAGTTCAAGAACAGTTTAATGTACATTATACTTGGCTGTATTGTACCACTTTATGCAGAAGAATATAATGTAGAGGAACGTAGCGGAATATACAAAGTGCCAAGTGCAATGTACACCAACATTGTGCATTGCGTAAAAAATAGTTGCGTAACTCAAATATAGTACAGTCAATTTGGACTATTATGTTGCTGTATTGCGCACAACTAGTGTATCATGTTTTTAGGAACATATTAAATAAATAGATAAGAAACAGGATTCAAAGAAAAATCTAGAGTATAAGAAGTATCTAAATGTTTTAAAATTGAATAATAAAAGCTTTATTTTCAAACAATTATGTTCAAAGTAATAAAGGAAATAATAAGAGAAATAAGAAACAATAACTATAACAAGAAGATTAATAAAGAGGAAGAGGGTTATAAAGGGAGAGAGAACACACAGAGTAAATAAAAAAGAAAAGAAAAGAGAACAATCATTAAATAAAAAATCATGATAAACGATTAAAAAACATAGAGTACCTAGAAAAGACAGAAGATATTTTGAACGAAGCTTTTATTAAACTTTTTTTTAAATTAATTAAATAAATAAATAAATGGAATTAGAGAAACATGTACAGTGTCTACCAAAACTTGAAATTACAAGTAGTGTTTTGTAGAATATTCTGCTTTGGTTAAATCAATACTAATCTATTTTTTAATATTTTTTCATTTTTGTTTTAGTTAGCAGTTTAATTTGTAAATGATTCAATGATTTTGACAGCTTAGTTTGGGGTTATGGTGTTGGCATTATTAGGTATAATATGTAATTTCTAGTTAGTAGACACTGTAGATGCTTCAATTTTTCTTAAAATATTTCATGCTAAAAGTGGTATGCGTGGTAAGATTCAGTGTTTGAAGAATTAATAAATATATAGAAACATGTTTATCTATCATATAATAATGTACAATAATAAATTATAAATAGTTTTATGAACATAATATACAATATAGTACAGTGTAGGTATACTTTCACGATTCTAAAAAACTTTGGTTGGCCGAAAGATTCCCAAAATATACAGGAGTATTTACAACTTTCTACATTGTTGTCAAATCTACCTCGATGCGAAAATTTATGCTATTTTTATATTGGAATGTTGTGTTTGTACAGAGTAATTCCTGAGAACTAGCATTTATATTCTTTAGAAGAATAGAAAACATATTTCATTTTGTTTTTGAAAATCAGGAAATATTTTGATACCTATGCCTGTCTCAAGAATAACATTGTACATTCTATAATCAAAATAATATATAACTCGCTACCCCAAATAATTGATTTTTATAGGCATACAAAATGTGATTTATTTAAAAAAAATATTTGTGTGAAGGTTTGATCATAAATTTGTAGAAATATTATTTTTTATTGCACGTCCGTGACATGTCAATCTTTTTTGACAGGAAAGTAGCTAAAGGGATCTCAAGTTTAAAATTTTAGATATTTTCAGTAAATCTTTGATCAAACTTTGGAAACTATTAATAATTTGTAAATTCTTTTGTGGAGAAATTTATAATTTCGTTTACATTTACGCACTATTTAACACAAATTAGGCGCTGCTATTTTAATGCATTATTAAAATCAGATTTGGTTAAAATGAAACAAACAAAATCCAGTAGCGTATCCAACAATAGCCTTCAAAGGAATATTTTGCTTCACTAGAAATTTACCTCAGGAACAAGGACTTATATTATTGGAAATATAAAACAGATTACTTTATTTTACACTACTTTATAACTAGTTGCATACCTATTAGTTTTATAAGAAAGTTTTTAAAAAAATTATTATTAAAGTTCTTTTGTAATTGTAAATCAGTTGTCATTAGGTATGGTAGTAGCTATATTATCGTAGAAGTAATTTTACCAGTAAAACAGGATTTTATTTTAATGACAAAAATAGTAAAACTAGTATAATGAGTGTTATTATGTGTGGATTCATTTAAAAATTGAACATAAAACTTGTTTAAATGGCTTCAACTTTGTAGGATTTATTATTAAAATTTGAAGTATGTTTCATATTTAATTACATATATTATTGGATACGCTAGTGGATTTAATACAAATTAGTGGTACTTTCCCTGGTGTATAGATATTAATCAGTTTCTGTGATAATTGGTATACTATCAATATTAATAATTACAATCAGACTTGAGAGAGTGTGTGTGTAACATTACAATTTATTATACTTTGGTAAATTTGATATTTCGTACTGAAGTCATAATTTAGGAAACATTGATTAGACGCACCGAATCTGTGCTGCAAGAAAATGAACTTTTCAAACATCCCTTCATTTTTCATAGTCTCAATACTTTTTAGTACGTTCACATTTTTTAGGTGTGCTAACATTGTGCTGATAAATTTGTTGTGAGAAAAAGAGGCAATACTTATATGAAATAACACATTATTATATTCCCCGCAAAAAATTAATTTTATGTAAGATATTTTTAATGATTTTATGTGGGATTGCTTTTATGCGGGATTACTTTTATATCAGATTGCTTTTATGTGGGATTGCTTTAATATGAGATTGGTTTTATGCGGGATTGTTTTTATGTGGGACTGCTTTTATGCGCGATTGATATTTGATAAAATGAAGTACTGAATTTAAATTTCGTTTTCCAGACATCAAAGTAGGGTACGTTTTGTCAAATCAACCAGTTTCCTGTAATCCTTGAGTACGAAATAATTTGAAATAATTGCACTATTCGAACACAAAAAAATGTCATTGTCGATCGCAACACCCGAACACAAAAAAATTCTAAGTCAACGCCAATTCGGCACTAAGTTGCGACAACCTCCTAGGGTCCCGCCGGCCCCGATTCGAGCTCCTGATGCTCGTGTGATTGCTGTACCCCGAATCGGAGCCCAGGGCGGAATCCTGCGAATAGGGTTTAGGTACGGGCCGGAAAGTGGCTAAATGTCCTATGACGGGTACCGTTTCGTATGGCCCCGGGGTCATGCATTGTATTCTTTGGGTTATGCTAGGGATTTGACGGACTCTGGTGGGCGGCTGTTCTACGCTACCGACTCGGGGGTAGAGTTGGAGGAGGGCGTCCAGAAGCATGCCCTCGTGAAACTCTTGCCGCCGCCTGTCTAGGCTTCGATGGCGTTTGTTGCCTGGAACTGGCGGTAGAGGTTCGTGCGGCCTTCTAAACCTCGGAACGTCTCGCCGTATGCACTGAAAAGAAAAATTCAAATTATTCGTTTTATAATAAATTATTTATTATCGGTGTTGTTTAAAATTATGAAATTCTTCAAGTAAGTTATCAATAATATTGAGTACGGTCCATAGAGTTATTATAAAGTGTTTAGAATATGAATTAAAGATTAAAACTTTTTACGAAAACATTGAGAAAAGTAGAATTATGAGCTTTTTCTCAAGTTTCTCTAGTACGGTCTATTTTAGGGAAATTATGTATACAACAAAAATTAGAGAAAATGGGAAACAACTATCATTCTAAATTTATTCAAAAAAGTTACAGAAGCATTGAATTTTTTTATAAAGAATAAACAATTTGTTATAGATATTCGTTAAAACCATAAATTTGGTCAGGCCCGAGATTATGACTAATTTTAGTTTCTATAATTTGTTAATCAATACAATCAATAAATACACTTAATTAACGGATATGTGTACAAAACCTAACATAGAATATAAATCATATTCAAGAAACACATTTATTAATATTAATAATTATTTAAATAGGACTAGGTAATTTAAATAACGCATATTATTATGTACATTGTACAATGTAACCTAACATAAAATATAATTATTTATAGAAAATTACAATAAGGTAGAAAAATGAATTCCTATAAAGTATCCCGCCCCCTCAGATGCTACGATTATGCTCAAAGTCTAATCAGTTGATCGCAAGAGGGTTTGAGTTTCAAATTTCGTATTTTTTCTTTATCCTTTTTTAATTTATTAAGGATACAGATACACAGATATACATCATCGCAAAAACTGTCAACACTGATTCAAGGGACCCCAAAAATTAAAGATCGAAAAAAATAATTTCTTTACTGATCTCTGAATAGTAAAAATACAAATTTAATGTCGTTTTAAAACTAGCAATAAAGAATTAAAATTTCAAAATGTATAATAGGCGATATTTCAAGATAAAATGACGTTATTTTTTTTGTGTCATCGGCATCAACTGCAACGGTTATTAGCCTTGTGTTCGGTTTAGGCTTTGTTACTGTTTCCCAGGGCCACTTTAGGAACGGCACTGTTAATTAGAACCTAACAGTGAAAGGTCGAGTAGGAGAATCATATACCTATTCATTAAAATCAATATTTTATATTTTTAAATTAAATAAAAATCCCTACCACCGGCGGGATTCGAACCCGAGATCCTTAAATCTCAAAGTCATGACTCTAACCACTAAGCAAACCCACCATCTAAATGTCGTTGTTATCGAACCACTTCAGTTTTCTCTCTAAGCCCTAGTTGCCTTTATCAAAAATATAACTGTCAACTCTCATTTCCAATTCAACATTAGAAAGCTCGCCAAAAATCATTTCCAACTAATACACAGATTATTTTATTTGTATATAACATTTGGCCAGCCTACTTTGGCTAGTGATTGTAGAAAAAATTAAATTCAGAACTGTCAACTTTCAAGTAGAAGGAACAGAAATATTTGTTATTCATTGCCATTGGAGAGGTACTTTGAAAAAAGTAGTGCACGTGAACACAAATTATTCATTGAAAATACACTAAGAAAACCACATTTATTTCTATTATGTTTCCTATTCTGTTCCTATAGCACTGAACTGAAAAGGACGGACTCTCACTGTAATTCATATCACGATCCGCTCACGCTCCACTCAAGGCGTGATGCAATATTGTGACATGCTATTTAAAGGGAAATATTTATATTTGGCGTTTCGCTCACGGTGCGCTCACGATCTTTGACCTCGGTCTTTCTTCGTGCGGATGTTTTTAACGAAACATGAATGAACCTTTGCGTCAGTATGTACAAGCAACAATTAAGCGGCGTTTATTTTAGCTATTCTTGTGTTAAGAGCAAGATGGATGAACAACTAATTGAATTAGTTCGAAATACCAAAGAATTGTACAACCTGGGTGATAACCTATTCTTTAACATGGTATTAAAAAATAGAAGATTGATGAAAATGAGCGCCAGTTGAGGGTAACACGTGAATACTACCTCACATCCTTGATTGTGAGCGCATCGTGAGCGTAGTGTGACCTGAGCGCCTAGTGAGAATCGGCCTTAAACTGTTATTGAGGTTATTTATTTCAGTGTTGCCAACCTTGAAGTATACTTTTTCCCTCTTCTTACCTTAAAAATTCCCACTTTTATAAAAAAATTCCCTCCCGTTAATAAAATCGGTTTTATATCAGAAATACAAGCATCTACATATTTTCCAAAATATATTTATTAAAAGAAAAACGAAGGTATATAACAAAGTATAATCTAAAAAACATAAATCTTTTAACAAAACTTTAAAAATATTTTAAAGAATTAACAATTTTAATTTTATTTATTTTTAAAATCATACATTTTTCACAATTAGGACTGAAGTAAAAAATTCCCGTTTTGAGTTAATTTTTCCCTTTTTCCCTTTTGTATTGAAAATTCCAGCAAAACAGGAAATTTCCCTCCGGTTGGCAACACTGATTTATTTTGATAGCGGTGTACTACCGGGTTCCTGCATGCGTATGGCTTACATGGTAACCGTGAACAGGGAGAACTTTAGCCAATAAGCCAAACACCAACTTTAGCATTTTGTTTGAGGTTCTCCCCTAAAATAAATATTAAGTTATAAATTTAGAGTTTTTTGGTTGTGTAAGGTAACTCTATTTTTGTTTCTTTTTAACTTGATTACTTTATTTGCTATTTACTGTATAAAACATGTTATTTTTAGATCTAAAAATGGTTGGAGCAATAACACCTCTTCTTTTGCACTATATATAAGAGACTAGCTTGATTTAAAAGGAAAGTATATTGAGGATGATAGGACAAAAACAATATTCTGATTATAACTTAAGGACAGGCGAAAAAATATTGAAAAAAAAAAATGATATTGATGACATAGCCTTCATTGAAAAATACAACATTGATATTTCAGATATTACTTTAGAAGACAATGGTATCGAATGCTATACAGATTGTTTTCCTAACTGAAAGTTTTTTCACCTGTATTACAGGTTTTTTTTTTAAATAAAATCAAAATTTAATTAAATGTCAAAATTGTATAGTGGCACTTCATACTCTAAATACTTTTACTATTGATTGTGACAACTTCATACTCTTAAATAGAATAATCATGAAGGTTTATTCAAACCGTCAAGTAATCTTATCAAAAAATGTACATTTTGTGAAAAAAAAAAAGTAAGGTTTCTTTTAAATTTAAATAATGGCAGACTACCAAGCAAAACACGTTTTTCTCTGTTTTTCGGCATTAAGTGTCCAGTTAATTATGTATCACTCTATCTGTAACGTGAGGAGATTGGGTTATCCCACTGCACTTATGCCTCAGTTAATTATTAAAACAAAATGTGTTTAGTTCCTTAGATATTTATGATTTTTTCTATATTGAATAATCATAAATAGAATTTAAACAAATGGCTGCAGAAATTTCTGTGAAAACAAAATTCTATTCAACTACCTAGAGAAAGTAAGTAGGTAAAAGTACCTACTGAGTATTTTAAAACACTTATAGTGTTCTAGTATCAGTATCAGCTTTATTTAATTAAAATTAATTATATGTAACGTTCTATATGATATATAAATATATATTTTTTAAGATCTTGAACATAATATTTTGTATTGTATATTTAATTAAAAATATGTTATTTCTTTTCACGCATAAATGGCATTTGCATTCCTGATATTAAGGAACAAGAAAAGACATATTTCAATTAACTCATTATTATTCTAATTATTTAAGATTTCAAATTAACTTATATGCTCTCACTGTTATAGATATGAAAGGTGTTCATAAAATCCCACAAAAACATTTATTTTCAGAAATTTTATTTTGAATGTACATCAAATTCATCAAATTCATTTAATAAATAAAGCCTGACCTGACCATAATATAACAGTTCTGTTATTCACCTGTAACAGCTCTTTACTGCGCATCAGTATCAACCCGGCAGTGACGTTATGCGCAAAAACAAAACAGCGCACTTTTAGAACCTAAACCTTACAATTCAGTGGCCTATATCCACTTACTCATACCAGACTCATGCTTTCATATCCCGCAAGAGAACGTCTGACATGCATAATATAGGGTGTTGCCATTTGTAACTAGCACAGGGTCGGCTCCAACAATTTCTCACTATTAGATATTTTAACGATTTTTGTAATAATATAAACATTAAGAACAAATCAACTGTCCTGTGGTCTTATTAGTCTATTGTAATAATTCTGACATGACAACTAGTGTCGACCAATCAAATACTCTTTATTAACTGCATTGCTTCACGGTCCCAACAAACAATTTAAGTAGGTTAATTATTATGGTATCGTTTCATCAGCTACATATTCAGCCAACAGGTTCAATAATAGAAGTCTAATTGCATGTATATGCATCTTACCATTAGTAATTTTCAACACAGGCGTCAGCATTTTTTGTTTCATTACAAAATGAAAAAAATTTAATTAGTTTTGTTTATCAATTTTTCCAACAAGCAACAATAGTAAGTATGCGTAAAAGATCTTATTTGGTATATCTATAGAAATATGCGACTTTACCTTTAGTAAATATAATTTACGCTCGAAAAAACAACATCAACAACTGTTAAATTAGGTACTTCAAAAAATATTCTAAAATCTTTAAAAATTGAATGGCTTGAAAATAAATAGGAATAGTATATAAATTTGAACAACATGGGCAGTTTCAATCAAATAGATGGACTAGCACTCTTCGTTGTGTTAATGGAATAAGATACTCGTTTGGCATGCATTTCTACAGCCGGCACAACTTAAAAATGAAAAGAAGAAGGGCAGCGGAATATTATTGGCAGGGAAAGATCTATCAGTGATGAGCAAAAAAACAGAAAACGACTAAGATTTCGCTTAAAAGTTCACCACCGGAAAAGTTTTGGATGAAAACTTACCGGTTCCGTTCTATATGCCGGCGGTTGCATGTCCAGCCGCCGTCTCTCCATCTCGCCTGCCAACGACAGTTCGTCCTCAGCGAATTCGTCTTCGCTATGAGGAGCGGGTGTCATTTCGCTATCGGCGTCGCTTAGTTCTTCGTATACGGGGTTGTAGAGGTCTTGGGAACAGTACGGGTCCGGCCCTGGAGACGAACACAGGAAAACGGGGGGATGTTGCGACATGGGATAGCCGCTGGGGTAGTGGATATTGTTCTTAACATCGATCATCTGTAAAAGAACGGCGCGAATTATTTTTCGGTATAAGAAAAGATGGTTTTTTGGGTATACGTTTACGAAATTAGAACTAAAGGATTTTCATAAAAATTTGCAACCCATCTGGATATCCTAATAAAAGGCAGTTTTTTTTGTTAGCATTCATATTTTTTTTTTACTTTTTTCGGTTTTACCCATTGTGATATAGCAATACACGATGTGTACACCAACTAGTAGTTGTGATGATCTCGCTTCTAACCTTGTTCTAGAACTGGCTAAATACAACTACTATTTGCTGGAAAAATGACAAATAGACACTTGGTGAATTGGTTAGAATATATGTAAAATGCAAATGGACAAAGCTGAAGAATTTTGAAAATTGGCAAGAAATAACGAAGAAATAAAATTAAATATGTGTTAAATCTTGTAAACATACTACAACTGTCAATCGAAACTCATACATTTAGCAAAACTATGAGGGACCCCATAAGCAAAACAAACCTCAATACAAATCTCAAAATTGTTGGTGAATTAATTTTTATTATATATTATATGGGATGGTATAATTTTGATTAGTCGTTTCCGTTAAACGAAGCACTGTGGCTGAAAACACCATTATGATCGTAGTAAAAAAGTGAGGTTTGACCACCAAAAAAATAGTTACAAGAAGTGGATCTTAGATTGTTTAGAATCCACCTACAAAATTTCAAGAAAATCGGTCATGTATCAGTTTTCCGGATATTTTCCATAAATAATGAAATGCAAAATGACTTTCAGTCGAATGTCATAAATTTTTGATATATTATTGTAGTACTTGGTCTCTAGACTAAATATATGTTAATGGCTAATTTTTAAGGTACAGAGTATTTAAGTCAAAAAATTCAAATTTTTGTAATCTCATGATAAAAAACGAATGAATTTACATTTTTGGTTACTTGTTCAGTACTTACATTTATACGTTTTAGAAAATGCTCACATACGCAAGGCGGTGTGTAATGATGTAAAACAGTGATTATATTTTTTAAAAATTGTGATTTGAAATAAAAGCAGTAACAGAAATAAAATGTTACAGTATGCTTATGAGTGTTGCATTAAAAAAACTCATCATATAAATTATTTTTACAGGGCGATTCCAAATATTACTATGGAAAAAATAAAGGGATTAATTATAGATAGTTAAATATATTTATTACCAAGACAGTAATACCTTTATATAATACAGGGTGATTCATTCGCCTGATTCCTTATTCACATGGTAATATTTAGGAAATATACTGTATTTTTCAATTCTATCCGTCAAACAATATATACTTTTTAATTTTGCGCAATAAGTTAAAAACCTGAGATATTTTCATAATTCTATTTAAACCAGTTTTTGAAATAAATGGCGCTAAAGTTAAAAATGCCCTTGTTACAATCATATTATTGTTTTGTTAGTGAAGATAATGAGTACAATATAGAAAAAAGGAATAGAGGAAAAACACATTTAACAAATAAAAATATCCAATCTAATTACCTCATTCAAACTTGTTTTAATGAGGATGAAGCCGACATAAAATGAGCTCTAGAATTTGTAGTTTTCCTTTGTTATGAGAGTTTGCAAACACATAAACACAAAATTCACACAATCCTCAGGAATAATAATGTTTAGATAACCATATTTTTTTCAATACGACTCTGTTTACCAACTTATGAAATGCTATTCTCATACCTTCACGGTTATTCCCTATAATTTTTTGATTTCCACACGGTCTGGGATTGTACAATATCATAAAGTACAAGATAACATTATTAATTTTAGAAAACCGACTTCAAAATCGTGCAGATGTCTTTAAAAATTGAGATTTTTATTTTCTCATAGATCATCAGATTCTGACCAATTGTATACCGAACTAACCCTGAGGTATCCCATTTCCAACAAACAAAATCATAGAAATCGGACAACGTGGTAAAGAATTATCGCTGAATATACTTGAAAAAAATATTCCGACGTATTGAAAACCTCCCCCTTTTTTGAAGTCGGTTAATAAATTAATACACAAAAGAGCACATTTTTAAGAATTTGGGTATAGCTACTCCAGAATTAAAAAAAAAATACAAACTATCCATATAATATTGTTCCTCGGTTTTGACAGATATTACAATAACATTAAATTTTCCTCAAAATAATATATAACATCCTCAAGGGTAATACCACAAGAGCAGAGAATGTTCTCAAAAAAAATAATTCTCATCTCGCGTAGTATTTGGAAAGATTATTTAGCATTGCTATTAAAACAGAACTTTTAGAGTATTTGCTTTATTTCGTCACCTTTTGGTAAACTTCACATTGACGTTTCGCATAAATCAATACGTTATTCTTGTAATAAATTGAATTTTTAAATCCAACCTTTTTGACAACTTCACAATGACATTTATCATAAATCAGTGAAACGTTACTTTGGTAATGAATCGAATTCAGTTTTTTCAGATACAGTTTCTTTTGATTTGTGGGTGTTGGAAAAAAGATGGTTGTCATTAGTTGATGCATTATATTGGTAAATAATACACAATAAAAACATTATTTAGTAGATAGTTGAAAATATTTAAGTAAATTAGGCATAAAGGAGATGATACCACTAGTATTGAAACAAGTAAATACAATATTTGGATTTTTAAAATATGAACGTATATTATGCAACGATCATGTAATAACCATTACATGAAAGTTACATACGCTATTCTATTTTTTCTACACCCGATAAATAATCAAGAACTATAAATATTATATTTATATTTGTATTGAACACAATAACAGTAATTACTTGTATTTCTAAAAAAAATTCTACAAAATTGTAATTAATGGTATTACCTCCGGTAATGGTATTTTCATATATTTTTGGGGCAAAAAATTTTGTACTGCATTTTTTGCTATTTCAGATATGTGTGAAGAAGTGGTAAGTCTTCTATATCGCTGATATCAGACATTTTGATAATATTATAGTTATCGAAATTTAGCTATCTACGAAAATTTAATACGTACTGATTTTGACCACTAAAACAATTACATAGGAACCTAGGACAAACGTCAAATGCACAGCAAGCTTGATTGAAAAATATGGGTTTCTATTGATTAAAAATCTCTATCGTTATGAAAAATCTGTATCATAATGGGTATCATTATGAAACGGATTATGGGCCTAATAGTGCATTATTATAATGCGGGTGTAGAAAAAGAATAGTTTCTTTATTTCTGGCACGACGGAATATGATGTGTTCATTTTGGGTAGACATATAATTTCTAAACGATAGTTATTAAACCTGGTCATAGTAAAATTATGAAAATATATCAGGTTAAACAAGTTATTTAAAAAATAAAATACAGTGAACCTAAAAAGAAGTATTTTGTTTAAATATTATTATTATTATAATTATTGTAATAAATATATTGCAACTTTCGAAAATAATTCCATTATAAAGGGGTTCCTCTAATAGCTTTTTAATAAATATGTCTGTCCGGTATAATGTGTGAATTTCAACACTCAAATAAAATGCTTAGACCATAGAAAATCTACGTAAAATAAGGATTCCAAAGCCGCAAAATCATCAAGAACCGTCAATCCAATGTCAAATTATAGCATTTTAAAAATTTTGCTACCCAAATTTTGTGTTTAGTAGTGTGTAGAAGACCTAAGGGCCTTAATTCAAAAACTGACGAAAACATCAATATATCATTGATGTTACTTTAGTAACAAACCATATTGCAACGACCAAAAAATTTTTTGCAGAAATTTCACTTATACAAACTTTTGATTTTTTGCATGACTCATTAATCACCCCGTATATAATAAACCTATGCTCCTACGATAAATATACGTTATGCAACTTATTTCGGAAAAACTAGCTCTTAAAATTTGCAAGCCGCGTACAAAAATTTGCATTCCTGTTGAAAATATTGAGCTTTAAATTTTGCCTAAAAATCTCTGTGTAAGTTCAAGTGGCCAGCAGTTTATTTGGTATACATAATTTAAAGGATGCTCTTTTTTAATGCAATAATCATAACTGTACTGCAACATTTTATTCGAAAACACAATTGTCTTATAATTTTAAAAACTTCGTTTTACTTACCTAATTGCGTACTATCCTGTATGCGTGAAGATTTTAAACAATATGTAAGTTCCATTATATTAGAACATTATCAACGGTATAAGCAACCAAAAAAAGAAATTCATTCGTTTTTTATCAAGTTAAAAGACGATTTTTTTAACTTTAACACCTTGTGCTAGCTAGACTACAACATGATTTCATAGAGCCAATGGGCATATTATTTGTTCTAGTGGTTAAGCACTACATTATATCCAAAATTTACGTATCGGTACACCACTGGAATATTCCGATTTAAAACACCAAACGAGACAGGTTAGTTTTCCGAATTTCGCCAAATACCATCATTCCATTCTTTTTTTGTTTGTTAATTAACACAGCTGGGCAAACAATATATTTTATGAATGTTTCGAAAGTTGCAAGAAACAAGACCAAATTGTTAAAAACCCATTATGTTAAATGAACTAATTTGTGTCGTTTAAAATTATGACTTAAATAGTTATCGGTTTTACTAAGGAGTCATTAAGTCTAATTTCGGCAAGATAAATAAGTACTTTGTCAACATTATGGATTCTTCTTTAAAAGCTAAGATAGTTCTATAAAAAAATATTTTTAGTTTTTAGAGAAACCATTAAACAAACAAAATATTCGTCTTTAAGTTTTATGGTCTTCTGTATGCGTTCGAACTAATTTTCGAAATATTTTTTGCTGGCATCTCTAAAACGTGGCTTTTGAAGGCTTTTACAGCTTCTTAAGGCGATGAAAATTGCCAAGCAAACATTTTTTCTTGACATTCGGGAAAATAAGTCGTGTGCCCATAAATCAGGTGAATATGAACAATGAGAAATTAATTTGACATTTTTTTCCTTCAAATGATCAATAATTGTAAGAGGTGCTGGCATTATGATGAAGAATGTTGCGAAGTTTTGGGTTGTTTTTCCTGATTTTATCGATGACTTCTGGTAAACAAATTCTTGTATACTATTCAGTAATATCTGTTTTTCGATCTTCTAAAGGAATAAACTGCGACATGTTCTGTACAACCGAAGAAACAAACAATCCATTTCTTGGAGGTGCTTTATGAACAAACAACTTTTGTTGGATTCGGTTTAACTTGGTACACCTAAACCGTTAACCGTTAAGCAAGTTCCGTTAACTATTATGATGTTGTGAACGAATTTCGCAGCTCCTAGGCCGATTTTTTTTTATACCAATTGATTTCTGGTCAAATTATGCGAAATCTATCGAGAACAGATCTTTTTCACACATAAATGTTGCATAAAATCATATTCCTAAAGGATTCCTCAATATAATGGAAGTCACATGCCGATCCTCTTCAATCATATTGCGCACAACATCGATGTTTTTTGGAATAACAACCGATTTGGGTAGACTTTCACGAAAGTCAACACGATAAAAGTCTGCAAATCTGTTGTAAACTGTCTTTTCGAAAGGTGCTTCATTGCCGAAAGTTCAACGAAGCGATTTGAGGCATTGTTTTTGACTTAGGATTTTATTAAAATAGTAAAAAATTATCTAACGGAAACCCCCACGTGAAATTTTCATTTCTTCAGAAAATTTTCTTTTTTTTCACTCACAAACTACTCTGCCAATTTTTGTAAAATTTTTAGAAAATTGCATCTCAACAGTGGTGGTTTGTAAAAACTTAAAATAAATAATAAGCAAAGAAAGTAAGTATACTCGTATACCTAGGAATAGTACACAAGTTCAAATTTATTCCGCATTGAATCTTTATCTGCTATAAAAGTATTGTTCAGTTAATATTATTTAATGATTTATTTAAAAAACTGAACAACACGGGTATCTGTATATCAAAAATATCTCAAAATTTGGTAGAAAATAACTGATGACACTCGTGGCCTTTAAATATTAAAATAATTTGTGAGGTGTATTTTCGTGCAACATTTTTTTTTAATCGCTCATTTAATTTAATTTTTAAAACTAATCGAAATAGACTTATTGACCTCCTAGGTAAATCAATAGATGCTAAAACCGAAACACACCCTATAAATACCGTAATCTAAAGGCGATTTCCCTGCCACTACTGTACACCCAACATCCAACCAAAGGCGGGTTTTTAGTTATTGCACAAAGAACGAAGCACACATAAACACAAAAAGCTGGATATTATTTAATTAAAAAGAAGTGTACTTATGAGTTTTGTTTCTTCTACAACCGTACTATACTGCTGCTGCCCTCTATCCGAGTCCTTCGGTTCGCTATAGAAGCTGTTTATTGTAACCAGGGGATTGCTCTGGCGACAAAACATTATCAGTTAGACAAAAAAAGAAGAACCAGTCCCAGTAATCTGGCGGAAATAAAATTAAGATAAAGGAACGACGAAGAGTTTATGTAAGGGAATCTGTAATTAGCTGCAAAATTAGAAAATTAAGAGTCTCGAATGAACAACAAAATAAATAAATATTTGCTTTTCTTTTTTAAATAAGCGCTTTGAAATTCCTGTTGAATTAAGATGAACTGATCCTGTGTAGGGTAATTAAATCCCATAAAATATATTTTGTCTTTGAAGGGTGCGATTATCATCTAATGTTTTTACTTTTTATACTTATTATGAGATCAATAGTGGCACATCTAAAAAAAAATTAAATTTCCATACTTGAAATTGTTTATAATTTCATCCAACAAGACTGGCATAAAATTAGTTGAGATAGTCTCCCTGAGATGGCGAATGTATCACTATGGCATCATGATACTATTACTCGAGAAGATAAGCACACTTGACGATCCAATTTCGACCACGTTTGCGCATGACGTCACCCTTTGCCAACAATCCATCTCGTGGGCATGGAAAAGCATTACATTAGAGCGGTTTTAATCAATATTTTATGTTTATATTGATATATTATTTTTATAATATTAATATATTATTAAACTAAATATTTTTTGGCTTGCCTAATCATCTTAAAATATACCAAAACATGTAAAAAAAGTATTATGAGCAAAAAAGAAAATTTCTGTCTATCGGTATTCACCATAACTTTTAAAGCAATTGCGCTATAGATAGCTGTTATTTCATTAGGGGTCGGATTGAAATATTTTTGAGTAAAATTGGTAAAGGGGAAGGGGGTGAAATTTCGGGGAAAATGGTAAAAAATAGGTATTGTTCGTAAAAAATCGAGTAATATGTCGTTTTATAGGTTTTTGGCTATGGATATTTTGATTTTATAATCCGTTTAATATTTTAATAGATAATTAGAAAAAGAGTAGGGGTAAAAATATTTAAAAAAATCGAGTAGTCTCGTACTATTTTAATTTTAAAATTCAATTAGTGATTTAAGAAAAAAAATACAGGTAGGGGTATAAAGGGGAGGGGGTAAAAATTCAAAATATTTGAAAAAAATTGAGTTAATCTTATTTTAGAGCTTTAAAAGTATAGACATTTTCATTTTACAATCAATTTAATATTTTTTATAAAAATTACGGATGAATGTAAAAAAGGAGGAGTAAAAATTCAAAATGTTTGGATAAACAAGTAATAAATCGTCTTAAAGTTAAACAGCAACAGAAATTTGGAAGCATTGATTCAATTTGCTGCAGTATGTTTTTGGTTGTTAATGTTTGAACGATCCACTACTCCACAGTATATCATAGTAAATGTTTAAAACAATGTTTTTAAATATAACATATAAAAAGCTTTACGCACGTTTACTTCTAAAACCCAACATACCAAAAAAACAAAAATAAATAATCAGTAATACACGCAAAATCGCTTTGCGGCGTATAGAACTGGCTGTTGCCGAGTCGGGTAGTCTCCCAGTGACGTCAGGCGTGCGAGAGAGATGGGCTGATCGCATACGCGTGGGTTTATCTTCTCGAGTAATAGTATCATGCTATGGCATAACATGTATTCCGCCCACATGCTGTATCAACAATGGCATATTTTTAATATGCATATGACTATAGATAAATGCTCTGGCTGTGGTAGGTTCAAGCCGTCGTGGGTGGGCAATAGTGACACAAATGAGTAAGTAGCAAAGCTTTGTTTAAACTTTAGTGGCGTAATTTAAGTTATGTCACTATAGACTCTCCATTTTCGGTAAATGCAGTTAAATGTGCCAATATTGTTAACAATTATGTTCTTATATAAACTGTGACTCTTGAATTCAACAATAGTGGAATATCTTTTAAATGTCGTCTTTTTTGAAAACACAAAATTAACTAAACAGGCTACAAAAAGTTGGTACTCAAAAACTTACTATGATCATTCAAATGAGATTTAGAATATGTAAATTGATAAAGCTAAAATTTTAATAGTGATTTTCTCCATAACCTTTACATTTTAGTTGTGCCACTGTTGTCGCCTGTGAGCGATATATTTCAGTAATAAGATTAATTAAAAAAATATCTACATTTTTAATCGTAACAACATGATGATAACCTAAGGAACAAACTAAAAAAATGATTTAAGTATTTTTTTATACCATTAGCTTTGTAATTCACTTTTTTTGACGTCTGTAAATGTCAAGAAAGTATACTTTGCAGCCCTTGGGAAGACAAAAAATACTTTTCCTACGATCACTTGGGAAAGTGACTCATATCGCACTATTTAGTTTTATGCGAAGGTCCCTATATCACACGCGTGTGGACACGAATTTACTTTCCGCATCAGCTGTCAAATATATTAGAAGCATCATTTCTATTTTGATTTGTGTAATGTCTTATATTAATAGTAATATCCATTTAATGTTTAAAATATATTTTTTCTGGTTCATACACATATTTTAGATATTCACTTGAAATTAGCCTTCATGGCTCAGATCGTTAAGTGTTCAACTTTATCAACTTTGGATTTCGCGACGCGGGTTCAATTTAGACAAAAGCAAAATATAAAAATACGAGTACTGTTGATTATTTATTTTAAATACATTTTATTTATCATAATACTCATATTATAATCTCTATAGATAGTAATTGCTCAGTACTTTAGATCCCTATAGTTAGTAATTGCTCAGTACTTTAGAATTCGAAACATGTTCTTTTCTTACCTCAATTGATGGTGCGACGATGCGCCTACCAGCGAGCTGGGCATGATGATGGTGGTGGGTGGGTGTAGGCCTTGCTATGACGTCGTGAAGGTCTTCATAAATTGCCGCTGCCGCATTTACATCACAGTTGTTTTGGGGTGAGTTTTTACAAGGTAAGAAATTTTGTACTTTTCTTTTATGCCTGTAACAAAATAAAAGCAATTGTTAAAAAATACTATGCACGCTTTAAAACTGACAATTTTTTCATGAATTAATTCATGTAGTAATTGATAGATGTATAGCCAAATGTTAAATAGATAAGAAAACACAAAATCCTAACACAAATTGCGGGGTTAAATTTACAAAAATAATCCGGGGGAGCATCCCTGGACCCCATTTCAACTGGGTAGTATTTCATTCTTCCCCAAACTCTTCGTTTATCTAAAAGTATGCCTCCCAAATATCTAGTCTGGATCATTATTATATTTTTAATTATAGATCCAACTTAAAAATTACTTATAATAGTTATTTGATATTATTTATTTTCTAAAGACACATTTAATTTTAAAAAAAGTCATATTATACATTTAGACAAATACGTTGTCAAGTTATTTCGTTTTTATATTTAAACGATAAGTATATTTTATATTTTTTATTTTCGTTAGACATGAAAAATGGCCCATTACTTTTAATAAATAATATTTCAGTATAAAGCTATCATTTTAATCTTGCTTTGGTACAAGCGTTAAGAGCACTACGCACTCTTTTAAAACACTGGAGGAAAAAATGGCGCTTATTGAATGAACAGGCAAGTCTCACTTGAAATGCATATACATAAATTCGTTGAATGCGTATCACAGTACACTTTAATAATAAATTGATCCCAAAAAATAAGTAACAAATCTGCACATTTGCTTAAGGCATAATACTTCTTATTCCGATTATTTTCGAAAGCAGGTTACAAAGTAAAAACCCAGCATTAACTTAGCCTAGCCTAAACACCATGATTTCGAAATAAATCATGATTAATCCATTGTTCGTGGCAAGTTTCTTTTACTCCCCAACGTTTTCCTGAGATTTTCCATTTCCCATAATTTGGAAGATGTTTTCCCTAACGCGTAGGGCGGCGTCACACTTATCAAACCGACATAATTTCGACGTTTAGACGAATGCCGACGTCTATGTCTGGCTAGACATAAAACTTCCTATTCCGTTAAATATTTCAAATGTGTTTACCGTCTTTCCTTTGTTTCCGAAATACCGTCCCTAGAGCCGGGTTTCGATCGATCCGGAAAATGTTATAAGTCAAAAAAATAATGGGGGTAAATTTCTGGATCGCGACCTTCGAAAAGTTGGATCGTAGATTTCAATTGGGGAATTCTCATTTTTTTATATCAGAAGAACTTTAGGTTTTAAGATTGCAACTTTTTAAGTTAGGATAGAATCAAATTACTGATCAGATTGTAATTTTTAATAAATGCTCCTTATAAAAACTATATTCTTCGTATTTAAACACCAATCTTACTATAATGCTTTAAGTCCCTCTGTGTCTTGTTTGGGATTTTAAGGCACCACTCGTCCAATTACCAAAGCATAATTAGAGAAATAGTCGTAGTAAATCGTTCATAAAATGCACGAGAACGATGATGAATTTGGTAAATGCATATTCTAAGAAATGGTGCTTTCTAGAAACATCATTAGAAGTTCTGGAACCGTGGCGAAACTTCTGGATACTTTAATTTATGGCGAATGCGCTATAGGAATGTAAACGATCTCACCAGAAATTACAATCGAACATTACCAGTGCTCACTTATGTATATGTCGTAGCCAAATTGTAAAACCCGTCGTTTTATAAAATGTCTAGACCAGTTGTTCTCAAACTTTTTTGGTGACGGAACCTTTTTGAAAAGCTAAATATTTGACACATTTGTAAAAAAAAGTCCTTCGTGTAAAATCTTCCTTGCTCTAGCCTCTTGCCAGGTCCCTCCCGTTTCTTTGTGGAGCCCCTACAACAAAATCTTATCATCCTTCTTCTGGCCTCTAAACAAAGGTCCTCATACCAAAATCATATACTCCTTCTTCTTCCTGACTTCTAAAAGAAAAAAAAAAGGTCCTCATTACCAAAATAGTATACTCCTTCCTCTTACTGAATTCTAAAAAAAAGGTCCCCAAGTCCCGTTGTAGTGATATGTACTACTTTTTTTTGTTATGACTATTATTTTCTTCGTGGAGCCCCCACAAATGGTTTTGCGGAGCCCTAGGGCTCCGCGGACCACACTTTGTGTAACGGTAGTCTAGACATTTTACAAAAGGCGGCCAGATTGTCAAATTATTATTTATTATTTTCTAATATGGCTAGTCGGATTGTAAAATGCCTAGGTGTTTTATAAAATGACGATCAACACGCGGCCAGATTGTCAATTGTTTAAAATTATATTCTGACATTCTGGCGGTGAAATATTTTAGTCGTTTCATAAAATACGAATTTTACTTTAAAGTTAGGGCCAACAACAATTTAATTTATGGATTTAATGGAATTAATACATTTTGTAACAAATATTTTACATATTTTTTAATAGAACAAATTAAACTGAAGAACAAATTAAACTGAAGAACAAATTAAACTGTAGAACAAATAAAACTGAAGAACAAAAGAACATAAGATAAAATAACACTTGCTAAGCTTAAAAAATCCGACCGTAAGATTTCTGCATTGTTTTTATATCAAAGTACAATTTTTAAAATATGATTTGAAAATATTACTTAAAGATATATTTCTGTTATTTATGATTATAGAAGAAAATGCTTTCAACCAGATTTGTTCGTGATGTCATTCTCTATAATTTTGGTCAAACACGTGATTTTTTTTAAATACATGGATCGTAATGGAGAAATTTGAGGAAAAGTTTAAAATTTGATTTTTTTAGTATTTTTGTTGGCAATGAAGTTATAAAATAATGTATTAAATAATTTTAATCTCTAATTCATTTTTGGATTTGATTTGCCCCACTCAATATTTACTTTACAGAAATATTTGCACTTTTCCTCAAATTTCTCAATTATATTACATTTTAGAGAAATTATTTATATGACCAAAATTATAGAGAATAGCATCACAAATAACTTTTATTACAAAATTTTCTTCTATAAACAATTATAAGAGAAATACACCTTAAAGTAGAAAAAGGTACTATTAAAAGTACTTACGGCCATATTTTGATAGGTAACCCAGCAAACCCGTATTTCTCAAGTTTATTTTATTTATCAGAAGATGAACCATTGAAATGACACCTACTGTGGCATTTTCCCCGTGCCTTAAAACCAAGCATTTAAACTTTACTAGGCTTTCACTGGATTTCTTTAAACCCTTGTCTCCCAAATTAAAAACCCTTAGAAATAGCTTCTCTTGACTGGTATTTTCTGGATTTAAGTTTGACGTTGAGTTAAGTTGGTCCCTAGAAAACCGTCTATTTAAAGCCCATGTTCAGTTTCTATCTAGTATACTCCACTTCGTACATCAAGAATAGTTTTTAACACAGTAGGGTCAAGCGGACCCCTGGCAAATTTTAGAAATGTTATAGAAACATGCTACAAATATTTCCATTTTTTTAGTCTAAATAACTTATAAATAAATTGTTACAATAATAACTAACCATAGTTTCTTTATAAGTGTTAGTAAATAATCTATCTACTTGAAGATTATTTAAATCAGCTTTTAAAAAATTCTAAGTACGAATCTGGTTATTTATATTTTATTTTAAAAGTCAATAGGAACAAATAAAATAACAGCAATCAATTACAACACAATATACTTTCAATATTCTTAGTTAAATTGAACACAAGCAATTTAGTAAAAATATTTTATATATTTTATATTATATATAACTAGATATTAATATGCCGAACGTTATTTATACCATTCATAAAAAAAAATTAAAGAGGGGGTCATTCCCTTCAAAATATTAATACTTTCCTTATATCTGTATACAGATAGGAAAGTAAAAATGTATTTGCAATTACATTTTAAAATAAGCCAATTTTAACGGAAAATGTAGTTCGTGCAATTAAAACAAAATTCGATAATTTTGGCTGCGTTAATAATTAAAAGTGTTGTCTCTCTAGGTAACCACGTCAAAATCAATTGACGGTAAATTAGGGAAACACAAGTATATGCATTAGCTGAAGCTACACCATCGTCTTCAAGTAGACAAATTGCCGCTGAAGTTGACTTGAAAAAGAGACAGGTATATACGAAATATTTTAAAAAGAAACGGGTATTCTTGTTTTAAGGTACAGACGTGGGCTATAGTGAGTGCTTGCTGTTAATGAATCTGTCACTGTTCCTCTTGTTAATTCGCAATACCCAAGAAAAAATTAAGCCGAATCTGTATGACAAAGAAAATAATAAACAGATCCGTACTCCAAATTTGTATAACTTTATTGTATCTAAACGTTTAAAAATTTAAATGTAGAATCCATAACAGTATTAGGACTTTTAGAAATGAAAATAAAAATACAGGTCCGTATTTAAACAAATAATCTTAATGATTGCCTTTCAGATACGAAACGTTGAATTTAACATTTACCTGCAAAACGTAAGGCTATATCTAGAGTCAAATAAAAATCGACAAAGTTTTCCTCCAATATCTTGGAAACCGAATCAGATATCTTCAATGTCAGAACATCAGTATGCTGATCTCACAATTATAGACATTGTATCTCAAGTAGGTAGTTACAAAATCGCTTTTAAGATGTCTACATCCTAGATTTGTTCGGATTTCTTTAAAATTCGATGCAAACCGTCCGAGAACCATGGAACAATTGAATTCCAAACTATTCGTCGCATACAACTATTAAACTGTCCACTGGTCAACTAGTCCTCTGATAGTTCTCAATGTATTTTTAAAGAATCCGAACAGTATATAAAAGTATTTTTGAACTTTATTCTTGTTATTTTCCATCCATTTCTCGACTACGTTTCCACACCTTTCCGTAGTATTTACTCACGAACGTCCATGCAAAATGTAATTATACAATTAAACAGGTAATTTTTTGACGTTAAATTATTACGCAGGTAATTATATATTCCGAAAGGTCCACAATTATCGATACAGCTACTAGAGTTTTTATTTTTTAAATTAAATTTAAAATTATAATCCATATTAACTAGATGTTATAAGTACATTTAATATAGCTTCAGG